TTTTACTCTGTGACTCCTCCCAGGACGCTCAAAACGCCCTGTGTAACTTAGCACTGTCCGTCACGCACTTTGGTATGACATTTTCTCCATCGAAATGTAAGGTGTTACCACAAGACTGGCAAGAGGCTACACCTGTCCTCACGCTTATGAACGACCAGTTGGAAATCGTCGATCACTTTACTTATCTCGGGAGTTGCTTCAGCTCAGGAGGACTGACGGAAGAAATATCAGCGCGTATCCGCAAGGCTCGGGTGGCTTTTGCTAACCTACGTCACTTGTGACGTGATCTCAGTCTCTCCTTGAAAGGCCGCGTTTACAACGCTACAGTACGCTCTGTTCTACTTTACGGCTGTGAGCGTTGGCCCCTCCGCGCAGAAGACGTACGGAGATTAAGTGTCTTTGACCACCGCTGCCTTCATCGCATCGCCAGAATACGTTGGCAACAGCGAATCACCAACGACGAGGTTCGCCGAAGAATCTTCACCGCAGACAATCTCACATTTCCGCTGAGTGCCGTCATCTCACTCCAGAGACTTCGATGACTGGGACATGTGTTGCGGATGAAGGCTCAACGATTGCCTCATCGTGTTATGTTTGCGCAAGCAGACACTAACTGGAAGAGGAGACAAAGAGGCCAGCGAATAACCTGGGCTCGAACAATGAAGGCGCTAACCTCAAAACTAGCAGTGGTAGGGCGCTCTAGACTCCCAGGCTGGGGACCCAAGGACAGAGAACATCTATGGCTTGATACACTTGCAGACATGGCTAGTAACCGGCGTCAATGGCGCACCTGTTGCGAGACTCTTATTGGTTGATTTACATTTAAACCTTTCTCACATCTTTATTCATACGTTGTGGCACATCTGCCAATTCTATGTAATTGACTGCGTGTTAAATATATATATATGTATATATATATATATATGCACGTTACTAGGGAGTCCTAATAAGCTAAGTGTAATAACCCTTCAGCGCATTCTGGGGCTTCGGGGTACGAGTGATGAGTTCAACTAGTTAGCAATTGTTTGCCTACCCAAATAAAGCATTTGGCTCATAATCTCCCCTTGTGATAGCACCAGTTGTATGCTGCAAATCTGGTTCGAAAATGATGAAGGATATCAAAGGTGTAAGCTAGCTCAAATAGTTAACAGAACAATTACTGAGTGATTTCAATATTTACCGTCAATGTGAGTGAATGAAAACCGTCCCTGGTATACCACATCATATCACTACAGTTAGATGCACTCTTTGTTTTCACATTCCAATGTTTCGACTTGTCAGTAATCGGTGTTCCGAACAGTTTCTACCTATCGTTTTGTATTTTTTCTATCAACCCTAATTGATGCACGTGTTTTAATTGCAAATATGTACACAGTTCACAAAGAACCAAGATCTTTAGGATATTCTGCCCCCACAGTAACACGCGCATGCCAAAACGATCGATTGCGTTAGTTTCGACGCCACGTTAGCCTGCAACAAAGCTCATATGGGGTGATCTCACATCTTTTTATTTCTGAGTCACCTTCGTTTGACTACGGGGAGTGAAGAAAAATCGACTGAACATGCACGTGTTGGTGAATAGTCACGATCTTTTTGTGCTGAGTTAATTGAGAACTTACCACACAGCAACAACTTTCTAAGGATAACAGGATAGACTCGATAATTCCTCATTCACCCGTGGTTAGCAAGACCAAACCAATTGAATTCTGCTTATGAGTGATGGCTCTCCGTCGATTTAACTTAACTCCACAATCGAGCAACCAGCAGCTACTGTCACAATGCATTTAAATCATGAACAGTTCGCTCTTGTGTGTCACTTGGTTTCGGTGACCGCTTAGATGAATGCAAAGTGCAACGACAGTTTGTTTTAGCAAAAGAAACATCGAATAAGTGAACTGTTTAAACGCTTTTCTGTTTGTATTTGTATTTGTATAGACTTTTGCAAGGACAGAATGTTCGCATTTCAGTCAGTTGATTTCAGTCTATTGATTTCACTAGCGACTGGATTTTCCATCGACAACTACAGCACTTGATGACGCACTACAGAAACCATTTAATGAATCGTAAGACAGCTTGTCCATTGATAATCTGTCGATAGATACCCACTGGCAAACACTATTACTGTTGACCACCTCGTAAAAATTTGTATAGCACGAAAAGTGAATTAGTGATCGGAATCCAGTCTATATAGAGCTAATTCTGAGACTTACAGTCATCTTAGAATGATGCAAACGCAACCGCTGGACAACGAATCAAGGGATATAGGCGGAGTAAATCGAAAAACAAAACAAATTTCTTCATTGAAACGTGACAATCACATACTATACCTATACACCTATACACGTGCAGACTGTGGTTAAGTTGGTCATGGTAGCCGGGTTATTCACGAAAACAAAACGAAGCCGGCTTACAATTAACAACAGATAACGCAGAAACAAAAAGGAAATTCTAGGTTTCGAGGTGACAGGGTGCCAAAACTTCGGTGAGAGAACCATTCGCCACTGAATCCAACTGTGTTCGTTCATTCTTATACAGATTCTTAGCAATCCACATAGATAGAATAAAGATATTATTGCGTCACCGAACCGGTGAACACGTCCCGGTTTGACCTAATTAAACAACAGACGAATAGTTCACAACCAGCAGATCATCCTCGGGCCAAAAACGACTCAAATCGTTGAATACGCAACGCTTACACAAGTGAATGCACTAACTGACCAATCCACTTATTCCGGATCATCTACAACAAATACAAATATCAAATTCTTAACATCTGCAGCGAGCCTAGACTTCACAGTCACAAACTCGATGTATGCGAGCAGTATCAACGACTTGCCCAATTAACCCTGTTTGTTGTTGCCCATTTTTACTAGTAATCTTGCTCTCATTTGACGTTCGTTATTTTCCTGACTCCAAAAATCATCTTGACTGCAATATGCATGTGGACAAGATCAGAGGAATGACCACAGACACATCAAGCCAATCAACATTTGTGATTTACATATTCCAAATTTGAAGGAAAAAACATTGGTTTCAAATGGAATGCAATTGAATCCTGAAGTCCACTTTTATTTTGGGTGACACTGTGTACAGAAAATTAGTTTTTTTATAATATATAAATAACCCTCTGATGTGATATATGCGATATGTTTTTCTATATGTCTATTCTGCTTATGTGTTACTGACACTATGATATCCACAAAGTAAGCACTCTTAATAGGGAACATTGCGTATTGTTCATGAACAAGAGGAGACCCCGACAAAAATGCTTATTTAACAGCAGTTAACATCAGCTTGAATTCTTTGAGGTCCAAGGAAATGAGATGTAACTATTTTACAAGGATGTGATCGAAACCCAAATCCACTTAAGAGATAGCACTGAATGCGCTCAGGGTGTTGATCATTGCGACAAAATTAACAAATATGTAGTGGCGTCTCCGTAGTTTAGATTTACCCGGTACTGGGAGAAATATGAAGTTTTCTTCCATTATCAAGTGGGCATCTGGTATAACTCTCCATTAAGTCTATCTAGTGGGACGTCATTCATAGATTGTCTCTTTATCTCGGGAATAGTGATTGTCGGAGGATTAATCCGTGGTGACCCGATTGGTGGTTCTGTACTCCAATCGTTTTTCAGTTCTCTACACACTCACTGCGGAAAACGTGCATGTTCCACACAGTTAACTAAGTGTCGTTTTTACGAATCTCTTCCATTCATTTCGACTTTTGACACTTCTATCGATCGGTTCCTCTCACCCACGCATATCAGTACCCTTCGTTGAACTCGCACTAAAAATTTACAGCTTCAGAAATTATTTGTTCTATTTTTATGCCTGAGTGAAAACTGTGTTTCCAAGCACAGTAAAATTTTAACAAATTAGTTTCTGTTGTCACTGTACTATTTTCCTTGTGGAATGATTGCATGATTAAACGAAGTGTTACGATTCACTGCAAAAAAATTCAACTGCTTTTTACGAGTTTTACCTGAAGATCGTTCGGTGTCACAAAGTGTGCTTAGTTATAATTAGTCGCTTTTCAGAACGGTTCAATCATTCACTTCTGACCTACTTCGGATAAATCAAGCTCCCAACGAGCTTAATTCACCATATGGGCAAATCAAATATATCCAGTTACTTTTGTCCCGTGGTTCGGGAGGGAGACGTGACAGATTGGTCAATACTAGAGCCAAATCGAATGCGAGTGATTAATCCACAATATTATTCGTTAAACTCCATGAATTGCTGCATTACTGTAAACCATTAATCAACCTTTCTTGCTGTTCGTGATTACGCGTTGAGCGTGTTTCCTGACGAATATCGTTCTCTCTTTAAGTTAGAAGATACAACTCTCAATAACCTCATTAGCGGTCGCTTCGTTAGCAAAACGATGAATGGTGAGAGAGTAAATAAGTGAAACGATTGTAGTGACGCCGCTTTTTCTGATTTTCGTTATTACTTCTGAAAGTGAGGCACATAACATAATACAAAAAGGAATGGTAATATTTCTGCTATTCTGGCTCACATCAACCCACAAGTGGAAGATGTTTAATATCAGGTTTCCATACGAGCTACACTTTCATTTGTTCTAGCGTTTGCAGTACTCCAAGAGCTAGTTCATCGTTCCACGGTTTGCTCACGATTTGTACTCCAAGCGGCAGTCCCTCTGATCCATCTGTTTGTTGGGCAAACATGAGCAGTGTTTTCATATCCTCTCCCGGCTTGATCGCATCCCGCACTTGTTCAATATCAGACCGTTCCACTCGGCCCACTTGAACAGTGCCTGCAGGACAACCGAGCAGGTTGTATAGTGCGGTGAACATGAGCACAAAGTGTACCGTGTAGTATGAAGAGTAGTCCCATGGGGCCGGAATCGGGGTTATCGGGCATAGAAGGCAGTCCAACTCGTTATCGTTCCACTTCTCGAACACCGATTTACAATAGGATTCACATTCGTTTAGCAGGTCTATGTAGGGCTTTGTACACCCAATTCCTCTTAGAGCAAGAGCAGTAACGTGATAGTTTTCCTCTACCGCATCAGCACGCATATGACAAATGATTCTGCGCAAAACTGACGGCAAAGCATACAGGGCATGCAGTGCACGTTGCCTATAGTCCACAATTATGTCTCCATGTCCCTCGTGATAGACGAGACGCAATGTTTCCGGTTGTATACATGAATTAAAAATGCTCATAATCAGCTCATAAGCTTTGTCTGAATCCGGTAGGGTAAACTCCACTAGTTCATGACCCTTACTTTCTAAAAAGCTTTTTGTTTGTTCCATCACGCGCTCCACTGCTGGTGAAACAGGCAAAACGTTTTCAAAGCCACTGTAGAAACCAATGCGAAGTTTTCCCGTCTTCCCACGTGTAAACTGAGACTCGTCGAATTTAACCGGACTGAGTGATGGATCGTGTGTGAACAATGAGGAGGCCCACAGTGCACGAAAGACATCAGCAACATCCTCAACAGTGCGCCCAATCGGAGTGGCTACGAATCCAAGTGCATCGGGCATCTTAAGTGGCAAATTGATACCTTTTTGGCTCATACGCCCAGTAGTTGGTTTGAAAGCGACCATGCCACAGAAGGCGGCTGTAAGACGAGCTTCTCCTAGCAAATCAGCACCAAAGCTCAAAGGTGTCCCATGCAACGCGATAAGCGCAGCATCACCACTGATACAAGCACGATGAGGATGTGTGGGATGTCGAGTTCGACCGAAAATGGGATTTTCCGATGTCATCCCGAGCAGTTTCTGTCGGACATTTGTCAGGACAAACGGAACTGCACCGGCATCTTTCAAAGCAGCAACTAGAGCACAATCATCTTCGGCTGCTTTATTCGTGCGGCATGTGTAGCCCATTGTGTGATCGAAACCACGAATTGGAAACAACTCTTGGACACTAACTGGGATACCAAGAAACAAATGTGGTTCTTTTGAGTCTGCTTCTTTCAGTTTGTCCAATTTCGTGTCGGCCAGAATAGCATACACATCCGAATCAAACACGATCTCCGCGATACATCCTGGATGACGTTGGAAAATTTCCAAATTTTTGCGTTGGTACGCATCAATAACGTCTACCGCCATCAGTTTACGCTCTCGTAGCTGCTTGCGCAATTCAGGAATTGTCATCTGCGTGGCCTGTTCCGTGGTCAGTGCGGGTACTTCACCCATTTTGAGTTTCTGGTTCAGCAGACCATGTTTGTTCATCAATTCGTTTTGTTTCTTCTTCAATTTTTTGTGAACTCCATGTCGATACCATGCGAAACGTCCGATACGGAAACAAAGATAACCAGCAAATAACCAGCGCAAATATACCCATCGATTTGCATACAGGGTGACACGTGTGATGAAATAGAGCATGTCACTGCACACGTAGAATGTGAGCACATCCAACACGTACAGAATGGCTAGCAGATCCAATAAATGCCGAAGGGAACGATTTATTTGTTTCGCTGCATTAAACTTGGACATTTGGGATTTGCGTATTCCACGGGAGCTAGTTGAGTTATAGGTTGGACGGAGGAAAATTTCTAAGACGAGCTGAAAGATAGAATTATTATTAGTGTGCTCAGTAATACCTGAAATGTACTGTAACATGCGTATTATCTTGTGGAATAATTTAAATAGCGTTTAATAAAAGGAAGAGATTGTAATTACACAGGAATTTTTCAATTAGGCAATATCAGACCATGGTAATGTTTTTTTGCGAAAACGTAAAATTTCACTCTGCGTGAACGTTGAATAAACGCTAAGGGAACTTTAAAATATTTAAATAATAATCTACAAAACAGTTTTAAATTCAACCAAATAGGTTATATGTAGGATAAAGCACCAGGTCAGTTCGATTTTCTTTATACCCTCAAGAATCAAAATAGTTTCGAGATCTAAATTGTAGTTACTAAAAGCGTTTGAAAGATGAGAGAGGGTCATCTGTGTGTATTGTTGTTAAGATGAGTTTCACAACAGACGACCCCATGGTTCCTGTGATTGCCTGACCACCGTTTGTCGGTTGCGTCATCCGCTGCGAAACACCTTAGGGCAACAAGACAAAGTTGACCCTCTATCATCCTTCAAAACACTTTTAAGTAACCATAACACCAAACGCTTAGCCATTAGTAAAGCGTTACTCATTAGATTACGTCACCCAATCTTTTGCGCGCAAAAGTTGTTGACACAATCAATCCGCTTACCAAGGTGTTGACCTTGTATTTCATTCTTAGGGTAATTCGTGTTTGGATGTACACTTTCGTTCACTTTCGTTCACTGATCAACCCAATGTAATATTCGAATAAAGAAGTCAGAAACATAGGTTTTCGCTGCATCTTTACACGTGTATACTGCAATCAAAGTTAATTTTATAGTCAGCGAGAGAGACGAAGACAATTCTATTTGGCCTGTTCGCCGAGCTTGGCAATTCCATTCATTACCAACTGTGTGGAGTAGAATGTGTACACTAAGCACTACCAGAACTTCATTATCACGAATAGGATATTTACTAACTCCAAAAACCTACATAGAGATGTATTCAATCTACAAGACTCCATGTGTTCAAAGACAACTATCCGTGGATGATTTACCTCTTTGTGAACGTGAGGAATTTAACAGTTATGTTCAATCTGTGTTGTGTTCTGTTCTGTTGGACACCACAATAAGCTAGCGAAACAGCAATGCAGTTTAACATCAGGCATTTCACAGTCAACTTTCTCGTCTAAACCGGAACGCTACTCGCGTAACCTTTCTACTATGCAGGTAAGTCCCGTTCTCTCCCAAGCCCTATCCCTCAGAGGGAAGTTCTGTTATCCTTGTCAGAATATAAGTCCATTGGAAGTTGATATTTACTTCAAAAGCCTTTCCTCTCAAACAAAATTTAGTATCAAACTTTGTATATGAACTACAGAGTTTTATAGCCATACTAGTTGACCGTTGTTACCAATATCGCTAGCACACACCCAATATTCGAGTGCCATTAACACGGAAATATCTGGAGGCACTTAACGGGATCCAGCAACGATAACATTAAAAAAGCAGACCAGGTAAAGAATCAGAATTTATTCTGATGAATAGGTGCAATTTTATTGGGCTATTTGAGCTATTACCCTAAGGGAAAACACTTAGCAATGTGTTTGAAGACAAAGAGAAAACGTTACATATGGAAAAAAAATGCTAAGAGATTGAACCGTTTAAAGTAACAACACCATACAGACCAATCAGTGACCGACAGAACCAAGCCGTTCGAGTCAATCATTCCACCTCTCTACGGGTTACTCAAGGTTTACAAGACTGACCTGCTCTTAAGACCTATTCTATATATGGTCAATTTACTTTAAGCTCAAACTGTCAAGTGCCTCATATGAAGTCTCGAACCCGTTGGCAGAAAGCTTGCCAAATACAGCTTGCGAGACATTTGATTTTGTGAATATCTCCAGTCAACGGAACATAAAGGATGATCAAGCGTTCCTCTTGAATATAATCTCTCTGCTAATGAAGGTACCGAACTTGAAAAGGTCGATTTATTTTTTATTGCATTCATACTAAATAAATACCCGGAGGAATATCAACGCGGAATGTGGGAGAGCTACTCCTGAAATGCGCATTCAGTGTTCGATTTCTAGTTGATATAAAATGTTATCGTCAAATAGAAGAAGTGATCATGCGTTACCCATTAGGCCTTGTCTTAGGGATATATTCATATTTTAATCACAAAATACAACGTTGAAGCAAGTAATTGAGCAATTACTCCGTATTGCTGAAGAGTGGATGACATACTGTCTTACACAGAAAGACAGGAACTCAATCAAAGTGCGACGTAAATTTACTGAAACAAGATTCAGTGTAAACAGACAAACGAAGACTTGGCCTTGTTAGATTTGGCAGTTCTCAGAAACAATGACTGTTTACTGAACTGAACACATAGTACACAAACGTACACATGGCAATATACAAACGTTTACGGCTTCGTCCCACTTAGACAGAGAAAATGATTCAGTCTAACATAAGGAGTGGGCCAACTTGGTTCTGATAGCGTTATCTGAAGAACTGAAAACAATTAAAGACGGAGATGAAATATTGGATCTCTTGAACATACGTCAGTGAAGCGAACCTACACCACAGCTTGATTGTCGTGTGTGCACACCGGCTAACTCATATTCGGAACCAACCCTATAAGGTAGGCGGCCCACGCTGTGTAGAAAAAGGAGGTACAGCGAACACAAGAAGCGCAATTCTTGGTCATTTAGTGGATACAGACCATCAAATCGGACTGGAATTCCCGTTCCTGCTCGTCTATTGTGTGGCCCCAACCCCTAATTCCATGCCTTACAAACGTGAGCAACCTCTGAGGCGACAGGCACCAGAACTATGCACACAAAAGCGACTGGCCCAAGCTCTCCATTTGCTAGGACCCTAGATATATCTCTAACATCACAACCATCGCCAAAGCTTCAATCACAACCAATTTCAATCAACCGCGCACACGCAGGGCTCATCCCTCCTCTCTCTCCATCTCGAATGACATTTCGACCGAGCGTGATAATTTGTCCCCACAAAAAACCCTTATATGATCCATACTAGTAGACTTATAAATCATTCGAAAAAATGGTTCGCCTTCAAACTCCTGCAGTGAGATCTTTCGCCAGCAAAGCTCACTAATTGCCTGGTTATCGCAGGGCTTTGTACTCCTCAAGGATCCGTATTGGAGCCTCTTCTCTTTTTAGCATTTATAAACGACCTGCCGCATGTCCTTGGGCCTAATACACTGCTAATTGCGGGCGACGCTAAAATCTGGAGAACTGTAACACATCCGAAGGATTACATAGCACTACAACAAACGATCAACGCAGACCACCGAAGGTCAATTGCCAATGACATCGAGTTCAACGTTTTCAAATGCAGAGTTATTTCCATGCTGCATAAGAATCGTTTCTTCTATTTACTAGGGAACTAAATACTACCGCATGTCACTGATAAAGAAGATTTGGGAGTTATGCTACAAGAGGACGTGGGATGTTTCACGCACTGTGCCAGAACATCATCCATAGCTCTAAAGCAAGTCGGACTACTCGGGCGTGTTTTCGGGCAGTTCGAAAGAGCACTGTTCCCACGCTTGCTATCAGCGTTAGTCAGGCCACACACGAAGTACGTCGTTCAAGTATGGAATTCATGGTTAAACCGCGACAGGAAGGCTCTAGAACGTCCTCAAAGGCTGGCACCAAATTTGGTAAAAAAGGTCTGTATAACAAGACATTCCGAAAGACTGCAAATATTCGGACTCTACTCAGCTCAATACCACCGACTTCGGAAGGACCTAATCTTGGTATATCACATACTGCATCAACCCAACCACCCTTGCCGTTCTATGCTGACATTATCTCCTAATGTTCACCTCAGGAGACATCCGCTAAAGGTGAAGACCTAGAAAAGCCACTCTGATTGCGGGCATCATTCGTTTGCAGTCAGAGTGTGCGGCGTATGGAATTCTCTTCCATTTGATATAGTGCGTGCTCCTACAGTTGATTTATTTAAATCGCAACTTGATAAAGTATTGGAACACCTAAGATTTCGACATTCGTGAGTGATCATGCATATTATCATTATTATTTTCTCTTTGTGAAGTTTTTCGAAATATTCTGTAAAAATCCTATGGGGCATGATAAGCTTTAGCTTTGTTAGATCGCCCATAATAAAACTTTGAATTTGACTTTGAATTAACTCGCACTGACCGTTTACCGTAGCCGTTTGATGCTTTTCTAATTCAGCTTGATAGTTTGTGTAATCAATCTTAAAATGGTTTAACTTGCCAAAATTATTTGTCTTTAGGCCACTAAGAGGAGTTTTCATGCAGTATCATATATGCCGTTTTTATTGCAATCCGTTTCACTGACTCCAACATGTGAGCGATTATCAAAATCGATATCGTGCCACAGCTCTCTATTCAAAATCAACGAGACTGGTGTTGTTTATCACATCTGTACTGTTGTCTCATATTTTTGTGAATTTCGATGTGTAAAGCGTAGATGAAGCGTCAAATGAAAAGCTGGGAGGCACTGAACAGACGTTTCGACCTGGTAGGATCACATCAGCAATACAAACCCATCCGATAAACTGGGGATCGAACCAGCAACGCAAACAGCATTGCAAGCGTACTTAGATTGAAAAGTGACCATGAAAAAGTAAACCAAACCATTTTGATCCTATCCTCCTCCATCATGTATCAAATCAAGAACCAATTTATGTTCCATACTCAAAAGAGTCCTTGAAATTCCTTGTGAAAAATTCAACTAAAGCGAAGAATCTGTTACTATATTGTAATTTTTTAGCTTCACTAAAGGCTTGACAACTAAAAAATACACAGAAGTCTCGCGAGCCATTGTCTGCTATCCTAACAGTTAAAAAATCAACAAGTGGAAGGTAGGGCACACGAGTTTTCATTTTGCAGTACTGGCAGCGATCGAAATAGTCATCGGCACATATCG